ATTCACTCGGTTTTGCAAATGAGGTTATGGCGACGATAGAATATACATATAATTTATATGTGCGTGTGAAAATGAGTCCTTAATTCGTGAGCTCCAAAGCTTTCAGTGCTTAAGCACATCTTTCTTACCTCATTTATTGCCCAGATACAGTAGGTCATAATAGTCATTTTGATTTAGAATACCCATCGTGCTTAAGAATTGGCGCTATTGTCATGCGCTCTGTCCCTTTAAACTGAAAGATTCTTCTATTTTCAGCAGCAGGTAGGCTACTCAAGAGTAGACCGTTGCGGTTTTCGTTTCTTCTCACTTCTTCGGGCTGTGTCCAATCCATTTAGTCATTAACAATGACAACTGTTTATGATCAGTGACTCATTCCGGAATTTACTAATACTGTGCGGTGGAATGATTTGATTCCTACGAGCGATTTTTGAAATTCTTATAACAATTGGTAAACATATGCAATACGTTAGGGACCGATGTTAGTATCATATCCATTTAACGGGTTGCATTGTCTCATGGGTGAAGCATAATTCGTCAGTTTGAAAGATATGACTGGAGAGAAACTGATACTTTAAAACTATTTGACTGATTGATGCCAAATTTTGGGTACGCATTATTGAAGGCTGATCCACCCTGGATATACTTCGTGTAGATAAAAAGCACACATCCAGGTCCCACTAACGGAATTAATTCAAAGTTAGTGATGTTGTTGATCTGCAAACAGAGAAAGTCAAAGACCAATGGTATCTCAAGTATTTTCATCGTTATCAGATATGAATGAAATCCAGATGGCAGAATACGAAGCACTTTCGCTTTCAAATACATCTACACTTATATATCATTTGAAATATGACGGGAATAAGACACTTATCCGGGAAGAGTTTGTTTTCCTCATGGGCAAAATGATTTCGCTAATGTTACTAACCACATCCCACTGAACAGTTGTTCATCATTGTTAACAGGTCAAGTTTTGACAAATAAGCTCAATTCAGCAATTTAGGAAGCATTGTATGGATAACGTTTACAAGGCACTAATCCATCGCGGCACCTCGGAGCTGTTAAACCGATCGGGAATCTCGGAGACCCGTGTGTCACCAAAGTCAACTCCCCCCACCCTTGAGTCTAGTTGCACTCGGTAAATCAACTACACACAGAGAAATCCACGTTCCTCCATCAGCGATGCACTGATTGGATCGTATACAATTGATTAAATGCATGTCCAATAAATTTCTTGTCACATATCCCTGTCCACCATTTATTTCCGAATTTCGTTGTGCGCACAACTTACATCAAACGCGCGAAACGTGAGTTCAATTCCGGGTACGGGAAGCATGATTGTCCAGCGACAGTTGGAATTTAATGGATACCGATCCGGATAGAGTGGAGACCAAAATGCACCGTTTGGGGTAGAAAGCACTCCTCCACAAATGTCTGCAATTCAAAAAATAGTTTAATGGCTTTTAATGGCATGAAGCCTTCTCAATGCGATAATTTCTTGTTTATTGTAAAGAAGTTCAATATTAAATATGACATTAAAGTATTTATTTTATTTCGCTATTATACCAATGACTCAACAGCAGTCATCAGCGATAAAAATACAAGATTGCAAACTGTGCCCGATACCATAAATAAAACCATTCCACTAGTTTTTGGTTCCGCGTAACCCTAATAAACGTTTACGAACCATACTAACTCCTTTGAGGCGAAGTGAAGTAGGTAAAAAATACTTTACGAAAAATGTTTATGTCAGGGCCTAAAGCTCTTTGAGAGCCTTTTGTTTTCTTACTGGGGCTTTCCAAAAGCGTGTTATATGCGTTTTCCCCAGTAGCGGACCGAACCGTCAAACCTGGGGTTATAACACAGGATACTTGAATCTCGCACACAAACAATAAGACACTTCACCTTCGAGTTCCAACACTGACGAAGCTGTGTTTTTCGACCTTGAAAAATAAAATGTGGCAACATAAATCGGGATTATGGGGACTAAATGAATGTCCAAAAATGAGACCAAACAATAAGAACAGTACAGAGAAGCTGTGTCTGAGAGATTGTAGATAATTAAAAAGAACCATCGGTATTGCTCATTACATGAATTTACCATTGCAATCCATGAGGATCAAGGATATAAAGTGGAGCTAAGAACCGCCGACATGAATTCCGGATCCGTCTTAACAGTCCACGATATTCATTCGCAGTCACCATCGTTGGGTTACAAAGTTCAGTCTTGTGAACCCCGTAGGCAACCATCGTCTCCCTTATTGAGCAGTTTTACAGAAGTAAATTAATCAGCTCATATTCAAAAATTCACTAACCAAAAGTACATGAATCTTCGGTCAAATTACTGTAGTGTCGTATGAATCAAAATAAATAAGGAAGAATATTTCACAGAACTAACAAATTTTCAAACAAGTTACCGCTAATGAGGAGACGAAGAAAGACTGGTATACACGTATGCATAAAAGAATATTGCGAAGAAGAGAAACTGAAGAAGAAGCTTTAGGCAGATGAAATTCGTGGGAGAAAAATATAAGCAAACACAACAAACTGCCTTGAGCAGACTAACCAAATGTTAAGTGGAATCATTCATACAAGCTTTTCACAATCTGTAATCACCAGATCTAAATCCGGGACCGAAATGTTTGCCATACGGAATATTCAACTGGTCTAGGCCTTACTAAACAGGAAAGACGTTTACGAAATCAGGCTCGAGTCATTCTGAGCACAATCATTGTCAAGATGATACCAACTGATTGGTGGTGCAGTTTTTTCATTCGTAGTTTGTAATGAAGACAACAGGCAATGCACCAAATGAACATTTTCATTTCTTGTACAACCCATAATTTCAAGCTTATTGCATTTGTCAAGCCTATTTTTGTCTCAACATGCGGAGTATTTTCTAGATTTTACAACTGGGACATTCAGAAAGATAGGATTGATTAAATTAACAACCAATACCATTGTAACTGTGCTTCACTACCAAACGTTTATGAAAAAAGGCTAGCGAGGTTCATGTCTGCCCAATGAACGATCTTGCGATGATCTAGGATAATTCACCCCATAATGAAGGTCCGTTTGCAAAACTGCTTAGTGTGGAACCTTCAATTAGAATCAGAGGTACACAACAGCTACATACGTACACACGCATCTCGAAATCCGAGCAATCTCATTCGCACTGACTACAAACGTAAACGTCTAATTTATTTGATATAGTTATAGAATGGACTCGATATTCTACAAACGTGGAAATCGGGAGTCAGGTTATCAGTTCCAAAGTTTTAATTGCATAACTTTGGTCTTGACAGCGACGCTCATCTTTGAAATATCCTAAAATGGACAAAGCAAGCATAGTTTGAGAATGCTAATTTTTTTCTCCACCGTTTTCTCCTTTCGAACCACAAAATACGAAAAATTCGTTTTTATTCTATCTTACATAAGTTTAGGTCTATTCATAAAAGGATAACGCAATAAATATGTCATAATATATAGAATGTATACACCCAACTAACACTACCAATTTTTCTGACCGTTCAACCCGAATAGATATTACGGAGATTCAGCATTTCAGATAATTAATTTGTTTCATAAATAGTTTTCACGTTGACATGGAATTGAAAGTCTCACTCTCAGGATCGGGTTCGACCATCGTGATACTACTTAACTAATATTAATTTTACTTGTTCACATTGGTATATAATCTTCAATGATGCTTTGATTTGGTTCCACTTTTTATCCGCGTTATAACGAGAGTTTCGTTATGTTTTATATGGGTTTTAGACAGAGCGTAGTTCAACAGAAACGTCATTGAATCTCTTGCCACTCGGATGAATACATCTTTCTTTTTAGGCGTTTTTTATTCCGTCTCACCCGATCTTACTCTTTTCGATCCGGAACACTTGTCATTTTTTTCTCCTCATACGACAGATAGCAGTCTCATTGATTGTCCGGATTTCTAGGCGAACAGATTTAGCCAAACCATTCCTGTCCTGCTCTGAATTTCGGATACTCTAGGTGACAAATTGACAAGCTGTTTGCTCTTCTAAACAATCGCGAATGATATGCGATTACTTATACCTCCCTACGTTGCTGATCCCCTTATTTGGTCAATCCACATCATCTGTGGCGTCTAGTGGATTACAACTGTGGGTGGGCCCATGAATATCGTAGAATACTGCGATCGGATAAAACGACCGTGAGAACTGCAGACAACGAATGACTATGTGGGGTTCGGCCACGAAAAACTAATATAGAGTTATATACCTTTATCCAGCACAGTACACAAAACGCACATTTTGATACGCTGACTGTACTTTGATTTCAAATGACAAATCGAATTTTAGGTAATCGATTTGATCACACACATCGGATGATGCATCTTTTGCATTTTTGCTAGCATTGGACAGTTGGAATGGAAATCTGTTCGTAATGCATCGATCTAGATGATACTTCTAACTATCATGTTCACACAAGTAACTAACTGCTCTTTCTCATGAGCGCATTATACTGTATTGAATTTACCATTGAAAAATGAAATAATGAACGAGTACTAGAAGTTGTGCATAGTTTTCCTGTTTAGATGTCGCAAATGACAAATAGAGTGTTTTGGCTCTGGCTACGATGATCCCATTCAGTTATATCCAAGAACTGTTACTTAAGAACTGAACATTGGTCATCCAATGGTTGTAAAGCTCTGTGTCCCTATGAACTAGCTGTGACGAATTAATACCAGTATGGTTTTGCGAAAGATATTTTCCACACAGTGATTGGAACCTTTCCGTTTCTACAACGCGATTATATTCACGTTGTCCCTAAGCAGCACAACAGTCAGAACCGATGTCATGGCTTTCCAAAACCAGTTCCTGACTGATCAGAACATAACGAGCAGACAAGGACTACCGGAACATTCCAATATTTAACCATTGCAGCTCAGGTGAAGCATGAATAATTTTTGGAGGTGCCGCAATGAGGATTTGTCCCCTGTGGTTGCAGCATAAAGTCTTCAGACTACCGAGTATACTGGTGGTCAGGTTTCCCGAGTCTGTCCGGGAAAAATATGCCTAACCTACCTCACGACAACTGGCGTTGTCTGTTTCACCGGTTTGTGTTCAAAAATGAGGTCCACGGTTTGCAACAGTTAGCACCGTGAACTTACTTCACAATATACCCCTACGTACTGGACTCTGGTGAAGTCAGTCATAATCATACGTCTGAGAACTTATCAGCGAGACTCATCAATCCCGGAGGAGCGACGTCGTTGCTGGAACGCTCTTCAACTCTATTCGTCTACACAGTTGACACTAGAATTGACCAAACAATAACCTACTTTATATTAGTGTGTGTGTGTGTTTGTGAGTGTGTATGTATTGTAAACGCACAAGGTTAGACCAACTCTTCTGACATCCCAAACTTTTCATCTCACAACTTCGTCTTCTGCCTGTGCGTGATCCATCTCAAACGATGTGCCTTTTGCGCCCGAAACTGCTCGAGTGATTGGTAGATGCACCGGTAAGGAAACCGGTGTTACACCATAAAGAAACCATCATTTTATTCGTTTCCGGTTAAATCAATTATTTTTTGGAAAGCATTTCCTAGGATGAAAAAAAATTTGAGACTGATAACGCAGCTCTTTGTTCCTTCCTCTCTCACTTCATTCCTCCATCTATCTCCTTCTATGTATAGATATAGTTCGACTGATTTGACTGACTATACTTCGGAATTCACATTCACGCACAATCCTGAGTTCATCAATTCAACCATACACTCAGAAGCACTAGATCCGAGTTCCGCTTTTATTAGAGCTCATCAGTAGGGAATATCCACCTCACGGTCCGGGATTTGAACTCCGGACCCATCGCGTGGAAGGTATGTATGCTACCACTGTGCCAACCAGCTCACGCCATGGCTGAACCAAACTGCCAATTCATGTTTGTTCAGATGTTGTCTTCAGTAGTAGTCAGTCAGTTCATTCATTTGGAAAAGAAGGGAGACACAGATAACAACCTGTTAACTCCAATCGAAAGCTTCCCACCAAGTTAGCACTTCTAGGTAGGTTGCGGGCTGACTTACCACATACCTACTATGCTTGATTGATATTCGCATTTGACTCATAGTTACTTGTGAGTAGTGTGTGGGAAAACTGATATTGATTGATTTGACCGACTATTTTTCGGACTTCAACTTCATCCCATTTTTCGAACAAGAGGAAGCATCATGAAGTCAAAACTAGTTTTTACTTGTACAACACACTCCTATTAGGCTTGAAACCGCATCATAACTCGCCATTTAGGCTTTTCTATTTGAATTTTTTTCGGGGATAAACCGACGAACAATGAAACAATATCCGAAAGAATTTCATATCTCTAACCATTCGAGTCTTTCAGACTGTACATAAATCGGAAACTATCTCGAAGTTCAATCCCCTCCAGTCTGAGATG